CTGATGCATCTGTCGGTTCCCATTTCCATTACCAGCATTCTCATTAACTACAGCAGCTATAGCCTCCACAACTTGGGCGGTCGCATTAGCTTGCTCTTGAGCTTGCCTATCCAACAAATTTCCAATCCCCTCTAACACTCTGAGGACTCCTTCCATACGCGGATCTTCCGCGATCGGGATCTGAGAACTCGACGAGCCTCCCGCTCCTGCACCTCTCCTACTCATTCTCACGGGCTCACGCTATCCTCCTACCTGCTATAATTCCATACGGGAGTTAGGGACCTAGGCCAACTATACTAGTCCAAGCCCTAGGCACAAAACTCGACAACCAACGCTTAACAACCAACAACCAACCACTAAACCAATCACATAACATCAAACCAATATCACTAAACAACCAACAGGGTTCTCGTACTCACCTCAAGTCCTGCCGCACCTTCGTCTCAATCAACATCACAACCACAATAAACCACTCAGCAACCACAAGCGCGTACTCACAGGACATGCATAATCAACATAAACATGCATTCTACGAAGGTCTCCCTAACTGACTACCCCGAAGTCGTCGCTCCTTATCACTTCAGGTCTCGACCTTACCGGGATCGAGCTAGCCTTGCTCTGATACCAATTCAAACGGGGATGTCACGCCTCGAATCCAATCAAGCTCGCGACATCCCTCACTGGTCGAAAGATTGCGACGTCCCAGGAACATCGCCGACCCAACCCAAACATCAGAGACACATGTGGAAGCGAATACAAAAACTCTCGTACTATCAAGATGACGACAGAGTAGAGCATCAAGACCGTCAAAGAACAATAACATTCATTTTTATACAATGCCATTACAACGAGCACACAAACTTTATATTACAAACAAACTTAACCAACGAACATTCATAACCACCGACATAACAAAAGGATCGGGTGGTTCGGTTAACTTAGCTTCACTATAGGTCGACCTATTTATCAAAAGGTGACTGGTCAGACCTATTTTACACAACCCCTAAAATACTCTAGGGAAACCTAATGGTCACCCTCCTTCCATTCTGCTCCTGTGTCCTCTGGCTCGTGCCCCCGGAAGATCACTTGACCGCAATACGGAGGAATTGCCTGCAATGGTTGCAAGGTCAGCGGCTCCACTGGGGCACCATAGACGACTTCTCAAACTCCAAAAAGAGGAGGTAGGCCTCCTGGGTTTAAGACTGGGGGTCTGAAATTGTGGTTATACAACTATGAGACGAATCTCAATAAGTGCACAACTCTAAACCCCACATAGGCTCTCACGTACCGCCAGACGAAACACGCATATCACACAACGACCAACCATACTAACAAACACATACGATCCTATCTGGGATCCATCATGCACGTCCCTGCACATCAGGTAATAACACAGCCAATATGCCATAATGATGCCTCATCCATATCACAAAACCAAAGCATGTAATAAGAATTCACATGCACCAATGCATCACAGTCGCACGTGCCTCGATTATAAGGCAAAACCCACTTGGGCACGTCCCATACCATGCCTAGCAGTTCTTACCCTATAATCGAGCACCACATCACGCGATACAAACCACACTCGCACACTAACTCACACCATGCGTCAACTTCACAATTCTCACCCGTCAAGCCAAGTCCAACTCATTTCCAACTTTTTCACCACTACCGCGCCCGTGTAAAACGCATCAGACCAACGGTCTTCTAACCTCGTCAGGCATCGTCACCCCGTCGGGTCGGGCATCGTCACCTCGTCAGGGACGGCATCGTCCCGCGTAAACGAACACGCCTCAGGACGGAACTTACCCCACGTAAACGAACACGCCTCAGGGTATCACCTTTTCCAACAAATCCAACCTTCCCGTATCTTCATACCACACGTACCACACGTACCACATGTACCACACGGCCACACATACACACGGTCACACACACAGGGCACACGGCCACTCAATATTCAGTCCAACATTCACGCAGAATTCAGCCAATAACCACAGGCCACACAACCACATACACAAGTCCATTCAAGGCATAATCCTACTAATCGAACATACAATTCAATCCTACTTGTTCCACATCATCACAGCCCTATTCGAGTCCACTAAACCACGCATTTTCAATCACCAATTCAGTCCATGACAACCTAATATCCAGCCCCTCTTCACATGCCTCAAACAGCCCTTAAACTACCCGAACCGAGTCCTAAACATGTTCAGTAATACCCGAGGTCCTAGGTAACATTTGAGGAAGTCACTTACCTTAAAGAGGCATGACAACAAGCTGGATGGGTGGCTGGAACAGCCGGACTAGCAGCAGCAGCCGAGCAGCGGTGCCGGCGGCTAGGCGGGCGAACGGCTGAGCTGCCGTGGACGGGTGGCTGGCGGGTGGCGATCGGCCTACTGGGGGCGGCGATGGGGACGTACAAGGCAGGGGAGGTCGGCTTGGGGTGGCTCGGTGGTGGCTGAACAGAACAGGGGAGACGAATAGGGAGAGAGAGACAGGCGGACGGTGGTGAGGCACGACCGGGAAGGAGGAGAAGCGGTGGCGGTGAGTGGCGGAGAGGCGGCGACCAGGCGGCTTTGAGCTAGTAGCCGGCCTAGCTGGGCTCACGCACAAGGGAGAGGAGAGAGAGAGAGTGCCGATCGGTGGGGGTGAGAAGAGAGAAAGAGAGGGTGGATTATGAGAGAGAGAGAGAAAGAAATAATTATTTATAGGGGACCCCCAATAATTGAACTCTAAACCCCACAGGAAATTACTAAAATACCCCTCTAACTACCTCTCCGATCCAATGGCCAAGATTCGATATCATCCAAATCCAACGGCCCACGCTTAACCTTATCCAATAATTCTAGGGGCGAAAGAGTAATTACTCATGGGAGGAGAGGGCATTCTTGTCCCTCTAATTTCGGCCAAACAGGTAATTCTCAGTCCTCCAACTTAATCCAGTCCTCAAAATTCGTTCGCGGCCCCAGGGGTAAAATGGTCATTTTTCCCGTCCCAAACCGAAATCCATTTTTTTGCAAAAACGGGTGGCCCCAAGGTTGGCCACACCAAAAACGCCATCGGCCGCTAAAAATTGTCACTTTCGAAATTCTCGATTCCCGGGCCCGAATTCCAAGAAATGACTAGAATCGAATAATCGCAACTTTAGCTTATCTCTTACTAACGGGTGGCTCATTGGGATTCCGCGCTCTCGACCCATGACCGACACTAAGTCAAATCACATTTAAGTTTGCTCGAACCAAGGCGACCTCGACTGTCATATAATTACGAGAGTTTGTCGCTAGTTCCCTGCGGACACAATCAATCAAATAGATCGGTCTCTGTTGGCCTAAAATATTCCCTCGTCAACCCTTATGGTCGAAGGTCGAACCAAGGTCGAGTTCTTTGATCGTGCGAACTCAATCCCATAATGGCCTTACCCCTAAGGTTAGCTTCCCGTGAATGCACGGTTCCTGGTGAGATCTCACTATAAGTGCATTGGCCAAAATATTCATTTCATAAATCCCGGGAAAAGGATCGAAAATTCAGAATGTTACGGGAAGTGACTAAGTTATTGGATGAAAGGTGCCAAGGATTTCTAGCGGCAGTAGTTGAACCGACAATTGAGGAACCCAGGCTAGAGGATATAGCCGTGGTGTGCAACTTTCCCGATGTCTTTCCTGAGGAACTGCCGGGATTGCCACCAGAAAGAGAAGTAGAGTTTGTAATCGAGTTGGCCCCTGGGCTAGAGCCAATTTCGAAAGCACCCTATAGAATGTCACTGTCTGAGTTAAAAGAATTGAAAGTTCAGATGCAAGAATTGTTGGACAAAGGTTTTATTCGTCCAAGTGCGTCCCCATGGGAAGCGCCAGTGCTGTTTGTAAGGAAGAAAGATGGGTCGTTGAGGTTGTGTATCGATTATAGGCAGTTGATCAAGTGACCATCAAGAATAAATATCCCTTGCCAAGGATAGATGATTTGTTTGATCAATTACAAGGGGCTTCGATATTTTCTAAGATTGATTTGAGGACGGGATATCATCAGTTGAGGATTAGGAAGGAGGACATACCGAAAACGGCATTCAGGACGAGATATGGGCATTATGAGTTTACAGTAATGCCGTTTGGATTGACTAATGCCCCTGCTGCCTTTATGGATTTAATGAATCGAGTGTTTAAGAAATTCTTGGATCAATTTGTGATAGTTTTTATAGACGATATATTAGTGTACTCGAAGAGCCCGGAGGAGCATGGGTTCCATCTGAGTAAAGTTTTGCAGACTTTAAGAGAAAACGCATTGTATGCCAAGTTTAGTAAGTGCGAGTTATGGCTCAATCAAGTAGCATTTCTTGGACACGTGATCTCTGGGGAAGGAATCTCAGTAGATCCAGCAAAGATTGAAGCTATAATGAAGTGGCTGAGACCAACGACGGTAATAGAGGTTTGAAGCTTTTTAGGTTTGGCAGGATATTACCAACGTTTCGTGGAAGGGTTTTCGGCAATAGCAACACCGTTGACACATTTGTTGAAAAATGAAACAATGTTCGAATGGACCGACAAATGTGAAAGGAGTTTTCAAGAACTAAAGCGTAGATTGACAACGGCGCCGATATTAACTATTCCATCAAGACCAGGAGGATATGAAATTTATAGCGATGCGTCGTTAAAAGGACTGGGGTGTGTACTCATGCAAAATGGACGAGTAGTGGCCTACACATCAAGACAGTTAAGATCGCATGAGTTGAACTACCTGACGCATGATTTAGAATTAGCCGCAATAGTATTCGCCCTTAAGATTTGGCGACATTACTTATGTAGAGAGAAGTTTCAAATATATACGGACCATCAAAGTTTGAAATATTTGTTTTCTCAAAAGGAGCTTAACATGAGACAGCGTCGTTGGATGGAGTTACTTAAGGACTACGATTGTGATATTTTGTATCACCCCAGAAAGGCCAACTGGGTAGCTGATGCGTTAAGTCGGAAGTCGAGCATCGCATACTTGTTAGTTAAGGAATGGACCTTGTTGGAAGAGGTGCGAGACTCGAAATTTAGACTTGAAGTAAGTCAAGTCTCGAGTTTGCTAGCCACACTAAGAATTGAACCGGAAATTCAAACTAAGATTAAGGCCTTATAATCTATGGACTAAGAGATTTAGAAGATTGTAGAGATGAACGCTACTACGAGAAAACCGGACTTCCAAGTATCTGAGGATGGGATCTTGAAGTTCCGTGGACGATTGTGTGCGCCTGACGATGCGGAACTTAAGGAAGAGATTTTGACGGGAGTACATTGAAGTAATTATAGTATCTATCCGGGGAGTACGAAAATGTACTAGAACTTGAGACAGTACTATTGGTGGAATGGCATGAAGGTGGACATAGCTAAGCACGTAGCTAAGTGTTTGACCTGCTAGCAGGTCAAACACAACATTGTAAGCCCAGAGGATTGTTATGACCTTTGGGCCAGTGTGAGGTTTCGATGTCCCATTCGATGGAGTAGGTGACTGGGACCCGTCGGCTATACCTCCCCCCGAGGGCGAGTTGACCAGTACAGGCACCGGTCTTGTGGAGTCTGGGCACCAATTTGCACCCTTGGAGTCAGATCAGATTGAGGTAGCCTTCGAACCAATACCCGAGGAGCCTCATCAAGAGGAAGCACCGATAGAGTTGGACCCGGAGGAAGATTCCGAAGAGATGGAGCCAGAAGAGGAGCCCGAGATGGAATTCGAAGAAGAACCCGAAGAAGAACCGGAGGAGGAGCCTGAAGAAGAGAGGATGATTGAGGTTTCATTGGAATCGGGAGATGAAGATAACCCGATTGAGATCGATGCTGAGTCTGAGTCCTCGGAGCATCAGACTGACTCCGATGAGACTGACTCTGAGTGGACCCCCTCTAGGGTTAGGTAGAAGCTAGGCGTTGGACCCTTTTTGGTGTAAGTGATAGTCTACCCGAAGATGCTAGTCCTTTTTTATATCGGCGGTTGTCAGTGCGGAGGTTTGATGGTTGCGATGGTTTGTATTGAATATTGTGAATATAGTGGGTGTAATGAAGTGGTTGGTTGCTTGGTTAATTATCTCTCCCTGTTACCCCTTTTCTAATTCTTGTTCGAGAGTTATTCTCGTTTCCGCCGTGTTCGAACTCTGATGTGTTGGTTTGGTTTGGGTCGGCGATGTTCTTGGGATGTCGCACTATTTCGACAGAGCTTGGGGTGTCGCACGCTCGTCGAGGTTCGGAGCGTGACAGAATTCACTAGTCTTCACCACGGCTAGAAATTGTTAGCATCCTCTTCAGTCACGGCTTTCTTTTCGATTCCTTCTTTGGGTATACAACAACGACTCGATCGAGTGACGTCATCAATTTCATTTATTCCGTACTTCCATGGAACAACTTTTTTATCAAACTTGGGAGTAACTTCAACAGTTATTTCTTTGCCTTCCATTAATGGTGGTAATTCAATCACAACGGGCTCAAAATCATCCCTCATGATCTCAATTGACTCAAAGTCTTCAATTAACAAATCAATAACCACAGGTTCCACACCCATCGGCTTGATTTCATAATACGTGGCTTCTTTAGACAAGTTAACCACTACGGGTTCAATACCCATCGGCTTGCTCTCATGGTCATTCTCTTTGGAGAGGTCAATCACAACGGGGGTAATCATAGCCACCATCTCTTCATCATCCATTCCTCCCCATTCGTCCGGACTAATAACCTTCAGGTTATATAAAGAAACTTGGCGGAGGTGAATATTTGACAAAAAAGTCATACTTCCCACTTGGTTGACCTAGAGTATCAACCACTTCACCACACTCACGAGCGGCTGTTACAAATTCACGGTCCCAATGAGCTCTTCAAGCACCAAGCTCGGAATCCTTGTCATAAACATGCTCCTCGTCTTCATTAATAGGTATAGGTTCAAAGACTTTAGATGTGCGATCCATGTTTTCATCATCCATGCCTCCCCATCCATTAGGAACAATATCCTTTGGGTTGATGAAGAAGCTTAGAGGTGGCGTGTATTTGACATAGAAGTCATATTTTCCGTTTTGTTTGCTCAAGGTATCTACTACTTCTCTGCACTCATGAGCAGTCTTCATGAATTCATAGTCCCAATGGGTTATTTTGACATCGAGGTCGGAATCCACATCAGAAACGATTTCTTCATCTTCTTTGAATAGAAAATCATCATCAATAACTTCTAAAGCTTCTATTTCTTTGGTCAAAACTTCGACGGATCCATCTCCATTCTCCTCCTCTTCTAACTCATCAAGGAAGTTCTCAGACGATACATCAATCATAGCCGTCATCATTGTGGCATCTGATTCTTCTCCCATACACCGGAGAACCCCCATGTCAATTAATTTGGAAATGCATATCAAATTTTCTTCTTTCGAGATGTCACCTCCTTTTTCATAATGTCCGGCTAGCATCAAGATCTCATACAACTTTGGTACATCCACCATAAAAGACTTCTTATCTTCATTCATATCTACCATATTCACACATTGGGTATGATCGGGCAATGGATTTTGTTGTATATTCGGTTCGGGATCCTTAAAAGACAAGATCCCTTTCTCGATCAAGCTTTGAACCTTAATTTTCAATACTAGGCAATTGTCGGTGCTATGGTCTTTCTCGCCCATGTGATACCCACATGATTTCGTAATGTCAAACCCAACGAACTTCGGAGGATTATCTCGAGAGACTTCTTTTGCAACCATTCTCCTCTCAAGAAGTATGGGTAGAAGCTTAGATAACGGTCTTGGTAAAGGTGTAAATTGATGAAGCGGGTTACGCTTACGTAGCTTGGTATTAGACTCATGATGTGGTTGAATATAAATCATGTCTATTTTCTCAGCACGTCCTTGGTTACATTCTTCATTCCTAGAAGATTGCTTGATTTCATACTTTTGCTTTTTGTATTTTCATTTTCCCTCACCCTTCGAATTAATGTCATTTATCTCCAACCTAGTACTAGACGGTAATTCCATAGCAATTTGATTCACATGATCCATGAGACGTATCAACATGCCACGCATTTCGTTAACTTGACTCTGAAGATCCTCAAGAGTAGGCGTAATCTTGGTCGGAAGCAATGGAGTTATGAACGCTTCGAAGTCTGCAAATGTGGTAGTTATTTCATCAATTCGGTTTTCCACATCGGCAATTTGATTGTTCTGTTTTTCGATATCCATTTGAAGATCCTTCACGCAAGTGGGGTTGGGCATCCTCCAAGTACCTTGTAAATGAAATGAAGATCATGGTAGTACTTGGAAAATAAATTGAGACGAAAATATAAAACCCTTCAATTTTATAGTTTCTTTGGATGAAATAGGGATAAGAAATATTCTCATGATCCCAATATCATGTGAACGATCTCTTATCAAATTTCTTCACAAGAAATTATACAATTGAAGGGGTAACACGCAATGATTAATCAAGATGCCCCATCTATATTCCATTGGAATCCTCGAGAAAGCACATAAAAGGGAAATTTCACTAATTACGACGAAATTCGTGAAATATAATCCCTATCAATCTAGAAACAAAAGGAGAATCCTATTACATCATTACTAACATGAGTAAAAAGGAAACACTATACATCAAATCTATGAGATGAAGATTACATGAAAGAAGATTTCCCAATGGACTATAGACAAACTCCTAATGGATCTTCTTTAGGCACTAGGCGAATTCGTTTATTTTCTTGGGTCAAACGTTCAACCTCAGCTAAAGCCTCATCCCTTTCCCTAAGAGCTCATGCGGCTATGGCTTGTTGTTGAGTTGGCTTCTTAGGGACATTAGGGAGATCCACTTTAAGCTCGGGCTCGAGGCGCCAGTGTATATACTCCGGCAATGCATGGTGCATCTTCATTTCACCTTCCAATTCCAATTTGTCAATAATGAGAATCAGCTCCGGGTGACATTTGTACCACTATCAATGATGGACTTGATTATTTCCTTCGAATCCGCCATTTGGTCCTTTTGGATGACATCTTTGCGATAGTCAAGACGATATAACCCCAACTTGAGGAATGGTAGAATCTTTTGAAGCGCGCGATATTGACGGATCACCTTAAAAGGGTAATATGACGTAGACCCCATGAGACCCAAGAGTGGGATTGGGTTGTCGGATCCGTTATTAAGGCGCACCTCGAGATTTCCAAGCCAACGAACATGCCATTGGATTTGATTTGGAACAAGGTTCTTGAAAAAATTAAACCAAGTTGATAATGACCAATAAGGAAAGATTTCTTCATTTTCTCGGAAAAGTGAGATAGGATGACAATCTTTGGATACACCTATGATTTTCAAGCTCAAACCAAAATCTTTAAGGTGAGAGACCAACCAAATTTGGAGTAAACCTATTGGGGCTCTAAAAGTACCATTTTTGTCTTATTTGAATCTATTGAGTGACACAAAGGTTTCACCTAAGATCATGTTGGAGAATCTTTTGAACATACACACTTGATTGACAATGTGGACTACCAAAGGATCCATAGTCTTTTTGGTGTATGGAAAGACCACAAAACCAAGAAATGCTAAGAGAAAGATGCGAGGAATTTGATTACCCGCTTCTTTTGGCAAGCTAGAAATATGTCGTTCTAAGAATGCAAAAGGGAGCGCATTGGAATTTACTCTAAGGATGCCTTTGATTTGGAGAATGTCAACTCATAAGAATTGGCTCAAAAGAGTTATAGGATCTATATCTATCGGAGGACTAACTAGACAAAAAAATCGACTCTTCCAATGGCAATATCGTACTCCTCAATTATAGGGGTCAATTCATTTCGACCAAACACAAAAGTGGATGTCTTTGAGTTCCAAAAATGGGATAATGTCTTAATCATGGCGACATAAGGCTCGATGTATAAAAGTGCGGGAAGGTATCCAATCCTCTTTTCCACGTAGTCCTTGTGCTTTGGCTCAAGACTTTCTCACATGGCCACGAGAGCTCTAGGTATGTGGATGACTCGAATTTTTGACATATCCATTTTGACTAACCCTAATTTGGAGTATCGAGATTAATCACTACGCGTTATAGAAAGAAATATAACATGAAATGACGTAAGTGAAATTACAAAAAAATTATTAAAACGATACAATCAACCTTACCGTGAAGAGAATGGAAAACACATCGACATATCGCATGACAACGTGAGGTTCGACGCTTAAGGGTAGGATTCTAAAAGTTCAAGGTCCTCACCTTAATTAGATAAGTAGAGTTTACCCACCGCTACTAACGTCGGTCGGTGCGCTTCTTACTGACCAAGATGAGCGATATTGAAGAATGGATTACCATATGGATTCACATGTGGATTCTACTCTTAATATCTCCTAAAGGTATCCTAAAAGTGATCCGGGGTTTTAGACCACAGGACGTGGGCGCATTGTGTCGTGCTAAAGCGGGTAAACATGCGTTTGAATTTAAAGCAAAGAGCACTTCAATATAATCCAATATACACGCATATATCCTTTCACCACCTGCAAAACAAAGGGTTGACACACACGCCTCCCCTTATAACTCCCACCTACAAAAATAACACTTGATTAGCGACTTACCTTATTTTCCATGCGACTTTGATATGCAATCGGTGCTACAAAATGTAGACAAGTGAGATAACAACCAACAAGTTTATTACAGCTTTAATCCACTTAGGTTTGTAACCTAGTCCCTAGTGGAGTCACCAAGCCTGTCGCGACCTACCTCACGAGGGCCGAACTCGATGAAGCGGGTGTGGAGGTAAGTGTTCATGAAACGGTCCATATGGCACATCATAAAAGACAGCTTTACCGAAGCGTCGATCTTTTAGTTATCCATACGGTCCGCATGGCACATCATAAAAGACGGCTTACCAAAGCGTCGATCTTTTAGTCATCCATACGGTCCGTTTGGCACATC